CCACCTCGCCCGGCTAGTTTTTTGTATTTTTAGTAGAGACGGGGTTTCCATGTTAGCCAGGGTAGTCTCGATCTCCTGACCTCGTGATCCACCCGCCTCGGCCTCCCAAAGTGCTGGGATTACAGGCTTGAGCCACCGCGCCCGGCCCAAAATTTGTGACTATTTCTATGAAAATTCCAGGGCATTTCAAGTTTTCTTATGCTATAATTAGTAATAATAAGGCCGGGAGCAGTGGCTCATGCCTGTAATCCCAGCACTTTGGGAGGCCAAAGCAGGCGGATCACGAGGTCAGGAGTTAGAGAGCAGCCTGGCCAACATGGTGAAATTCTATCTCTACTAAAAATACAAAAATTAGCTGGGCATGGTGGTGTGCGCCTGTAATCCCAGCTACTCAGGAGGCAGGAGAATCACTTGAACTCAGGAGGTGGAGGTTGCAGTGAGCCGAGATCCCACCACCATTGCACTCCAGCCTGGGCAACAGAGTGAGACTCCGTCTCAAAAAACAAAAAATAGTAATACTGTGAATCGATGGCATCCATTAACCAGTTTGGCTTTGCTGACAGTGTGGTACATTATGATTTACATTAACTCCATCAGTGTCAGTATTTTATGTAAATTAACCACAAATTTAAATCTTTTGCTTCACTCTCTCATTACTTGGATTATCAAATAATTCAAGAACTTATTCATTGCAGTGATTCAAAATTTATACTTATAATGAATTACTGCTTTTGGTATGACCTAGAAACTTTTTTTTTTGTTACAATACTTCTGAATGGCAGAATAATATATATTGAATTCATCACTCATTTTTATGGCTGTTTCATATTCTCAGGTCCTAGTAATAATAATAGTGAACCTCTAGGAATATATGCTGAATTGAATTCAATCTAAGCAATTATGATTAAATATTTGTAAAAGTTAACTATAGTAAACCTCAGAGAAGATAGCGTCTTGCTTTTATGGGTTTTTTTGGTAGAGATAGGGTTTTGCTCTGTTGCCCAGGATGAAGTGGAATGGTGTGATAATGGCTCACTGTTGCAACCTTGAGGCTGAGGCAGGAGAATGGTGTGAACCCGGAAGGCGGAGCTTGCAGTGAGCCGAGATCGCGCCACTGTACTCCAGCCTGGGAGACAGAGCAAGACTCTGTCTCAAAAAAAATAAATAAATAAAGAGTTTAACAAAACACACAACCAAGAAAACAAATGAAGCAACAAAATCAGAGAGTTATTGAAAATGAAAGTACACTTCACCAGGTGGGAGAGGCCCCAGTAGCCACTCAAGGGCCCTGGATACAGAATTTTCTCCAGTCCAAATACCCGCTAGAAGTTTCCCGTTGGCCACTGGGTATTCACCCCTGTAAATGAAATGAAACAGTGGCCTGTAATGAGTCTGATTGGTTGCGGAAAGCCAAGGCGGGCGGATGACAGGGTCAAGAGATGGTGACCATCCTGGCCAACATGGTGAAACCTCATCTCTACTAAAAATACAAAAATTAGCTGGGTGTGGTGGGTGCTAATGCTAATGCATTATAATTAGTGTATAATGAGAAGCGAGGAAGACCAGAGATCACTCTCATCACCATCTTGGTTTCAGTGGGTTTTCCTGGCTTCTTTACCACAACCTGTTTTATTAGCAAGGTCTTTGTGACCTGTGTCTTATGCTGTCCTCCTATCTCATCCTGTGACTAAGAATGCCTTAACCTTCTGGGAATGCAGCCCCGTAAGTGTGGGGGGATCACCTGAAGTCAAGGTAGAGGTTGCAGCAAGCCGAGATGGTGCCACTGCACTCTAGCCTGGGCAACAGAGAGAGACTCTGTCTCAAAAAAAAAAAAAAAAAAAAGGCAACTAATTAGAGGTACTTAGAATTTCCCATCTGCCACAGAAAAGGTAGGGGTTTGCAAAGGGGTAGCCTCTGATCCTTTTGTTACTTAGGCTTGGAAAGTTAGGATTTCCCTTTCAATTTAGTTCTAGGAAGTCAGCCTGAAACAGCCTTAGGTTCCCTGCCTCCAGACTCTGTTCTCCTGCCTAAAACATATCCATGCACTAGAAGGGTGGTGCACCTGCAGAGGGCAAGGAAGCTCCACAGCCCCTCCAAACCTTGTCCCATGCATCTCTTCTGTTTGGCTGTGCCTGAGTTGTATTCTTTTTTTTTTTTTTTTTTTTTTTTGAGACGGAGTCTCGCTCTGTCGCCCAGGCTGGAGTGCAGTGGCTGGATCTCAGCTCACTGCAAGCTCCGCCTCCCGGGTTCACGCCATTCTCCGGCCTCAGCCTCCCGAGTAGCTGGGACTGCAGGCGCCCGCCACCGCGCCCGGCTAGTTTTTTGTATTTTTTAGTAGAGACGGGGTTTCACCGTGTTAGCCAGGATGGTCTCGATCTCCTGACCTCGTGATCCGCCCGTCTCGGCCTCCCAAAGTGCTGGGATTACAGGCTTGAGCCACCGCGCCCGGCCCTGAGTTGTATTCTTTTTTTTTTTTTTTTTGAGATGGAGTCTTGCTCTGTTGCCAGGCTGGAGTGCAGTGGCGTGATTTCAGCTCACTGCAACCTCCACTTCTTGGGTTCCAGCAATTCTCCTGCCTCAGCCTCCTGAGTAGCTGGGACTACAGGTGCGCACCATCATGCCCAGCTAATTTTTGTATTTTTAGTAGAGACGGGGTTTCACCATGTTGGCCAGGATGGTCTGGATCTCTTGACCTCGTGATTTACCCGCCTCAGCTTCCCAAAGGGCTAAGATTATAGGTGTGAGCCACCATGCCCAGCCAGACTAAGAAATTCTTACCAGCCAAGTTTCTGGTCTCTCTCTGTCTCTCTGTATGTGTGTGTAAACGGTAAATGCCACTATTTGTTTTCTCTGCAAGGGTTTGATTAGTAGAAAAAAAAGGATTTGTCAGACAAGTCTTAGGCTGTAGCAAATCTGATGTACTTTGTGCTAAGAATTTGTCTTTCTGTGTTGTTCTGTAATGAAGAGGGGAGTATCACAGGATAGAACGTGGGTTTAGGATGCCTATAAGCCAAGTTTTCAAGCCAGCCCATCAGGTTGGTCAGTTACAAATGTTGCTATGGGTCTCTGAAACCAATGCCAAATGAAATTTCTCTGCCTTGTTTTATGTCCTTAAGAGCTTAACCTTATGGCCATGTGGGGATACGTTCTCTTGGTTTCTGCCATACAGAGGACAGGAATTTGGGGGTCCATGTCATAGCCCTAAAAATTATCTTGAGCAGGCTGGGCATGGTGGCTCATGCCTGTAATCCCAGCACTTCGGGAGGCTGAGGCGGGCGGATCACGAGGTCAGGAGATTGAGACCATCCTGGCTAACATGGTGAAACCCCATCTCTACTAAAAATACAAAAAAATCAGCTGGGCATGGTGGCGGGCACCTGTAGTCCCAGCTACTCAGGAGGCCGAGGCAGGAGAATGGCGTGAACCCAGGAGGTGGAGCTTGCAGTGAGCTGAGATGGTGCCACTGCACTAGACTCCGTCTCAAAAAAAAAAAAAAAAAAAAAATTATCTTGAGCAGTTGAGAGCCTTTGAAAGCTTGAATCTGGCTACTCTAGACTTCTGGGAATAGCAATAGAAACTGCCCAGGGCCGGGTGCAGTGGCTCACGCCTGTAATCCCAGCACTTTGGGAGGCCGAGGCGGATCACAAGGTCAAGAGATCGAGACCATCCTGGCCAACCTGGTGAAACTCACCTCTACTAAAAATACAAAAATTAGCCGGGCATGGTGTCACGCACCTGTAGTCCCAGCTACTCAGGAGGCTGAGGCAGAAGAATCGCTTGAACCCAGGAGGCAGAGGTTGCAGTGATTCGAGTTTGTGCCACTGCACTCAAGCCTGGCAACAAATTGAGACTCCGTCAAAAAAAAAAAAAAAAAGAAAGAAAGAGGCCGGGCGCGGTGGTGGCTCAAGCCTGTAATCCCAGCACTTTGGGAGGCCAAGACGGGGGGATCATGAGGTCAGGAGATCGAGACCATCCTGGCTAACATGGTGAAACCCCATCTCTACTACTAAAAAATATAAAAAACTAGCCAGGCAAGGTGGCGGGCGCCTGTAGTCCCAGCTGCTCGGGAGGCTGAGGCAGGAGAATGGCGTAAACCCGGGAGGCGGAGCTTGCAGTGAGCTGAGATCCGGCCACTGCACTCTGGCCTGGGTGACAGAGCGAGACTCCGTCTCAAAAAAAAAAAAAGAAAGAAAGAAAGAAAGAAACTGCCCAATGCTGTGTGGCTCAGTAGCTAAGGCTTTGTCTTTTGACAAGGGTGATTTGGGTTGAATTCTTGGCTTCTGAAATGATTCCTTTCTGGTTTGTTGTTTGTGTAACTTTGCCATTATTAAGGTTATTTTCCCCCTCATGAATAGCTTCTGATTTCCTGTCTTGGATTTTCCTTTCTCTAAACTACCCTTGGGGAGATTCTAAATCTTGTTTGAAAAAAAAAAGAGGAACTGCTGGCCAGGCGCGGTGACTCACGCCTGTAATCCCAACACTTTGGAGGCCGAGGTGGGTGGATCACCTGAGGTCAGGAGTTCAAGACCAGTCTGGCCAACATGGTGAAACCCCTGTCTCTACTAAAAATACAAAAATTAGCCAAGTGTGGTGGCGCATGCCTATAATCCCAGCTACTTGGGAGGATGAGGCAGGAGAATTGCTTGAAGCCAGGAGCCAGAGGTTTCAGTGAGCCAAGATGGAGCCACTGCACTCTAGCCTGGGTGACAGAGCAGGACTGTCTAAAAAAAAAAAAAAAAGAAAGAAAGAAAAACAAAGAAACAAAAATCACCATCCCAGACCCCTGTCAATGTCACCACCTGCCCATCCCTCAAAGTCATCTGCCCCCCAACCCCAGAGCTCTGGTAGCTGTTGAGTTGCTTGTTTTGGCCAGCTTCCTCACTAGCCTTGAAGGCAGGAATGATAGCTTATTCATTGGTGTGTCTCTTGTGCACCTAGAAGGCTTTCAAATGTTTTTTAAAATGCTGGGATTTCCTAAATTGAAAAGGAAAAACTTCAGAGTCATTTGGACAGGTTTATTGAAGCTGAGCAGTTTCCCCATAATCTAGATGACTTCAGGTTACAGGCTGTGTGGCTCTCTCCAGCCACGAGTCCTCATCACCGAATGGGATGGATAAACATCTGTTCAGTCTGCAATATAATTTGGCATAAAGCTGCAGCCACAAGTGGGCTCTGCTGCTGGATATGGATCAGGCTCTCTGGAATGTCTGTTTGCACACTTGACCTTCACAGAACATTTCCTAGGGCGTAAGGAAGAAGGGAAGAAGAAAGATGAGGTTGCACGTGGTCTATTTTTACTCTCAACACTTATTTTTTATTTTATTTTAACCCTTTTCTGGAACACTTTTTTTTCTTTTTTGAGATGGGGTCTTACTCTGTCGTCGTGGCTAAGTACAGTGGTGAGATCTCAGCTTACTGTAACCTCTGCCTCCCAGGCTCAAGCTGTCCCACCTCAGTCCCCCAAGTAGCTGGGACACTACAGGCATGTGCCACCATGCCCGGCTAATTTTTGTGTTTGTTGTAAAGACAGGGTTTCGCCACTGCCTAGGCTGGTATTTTTTTTTTTTTTTTTTTTTTGAGATGGAGTCTCACTCTGTAGCCCAGGCTAGAGTGCAGTGACACAGTCTCAGCTCACTGCAACCTCCGCCTCCTGGGTCCCGGTTCAAGCAATTCTTCTGCCTCGGCCTCCCAAGTAGCTAGGATTACAGGCATATGCCACCATGCTCTGCTAATTTTTGTATTTTTAGTAGAGACGGGGTTTCACCATGTTGGCCAGGCTGTTCTTGAACTCCTGACCTCGTGATCTGCCCACCTCGGCCTCCCAAAGTGCTGGGATTACAGGCATGAGCCACCGTGTCTGGCCCCTAGGCTGATCTTGAACTCCTAGCCTCAAATGATTTTCCTGCCTTGCCTTCCCAAAGTGCTAGGATTACAGTTATGAGCCACCGCACCTGGCCTACTCGCAATACTTCTGACACCAAATGTGTGGGTTTTTAAACTCCTGACACCAGTTGTGTGGTGTCTTTTCTAGTCCCACTTCTCCAACTCTCTGACACCAACTGAGTGTCCAGTAAACCAACTTAATTCGGGCACTAACAACCCAGAGTTAGCACAGACCACATAGGTTAAGGATGCAGTCTCACGAGACTGCCTCCAACTTCAGACACCCGTCAAATTTTCGGACCTCCCATATTTCTGACTGATCAGCTAGAAATCAGGTTTTCCCATAACCAACCCCTCCTTGGACTTGATAATTTGCTAGAAGGGCTCACAAAACTCAGAAAGTCCCTTCACTTACTATTACCAGGTTATTATAAACAACTCAGAAAGAGCCTGATGGGGCTGGGCACACACGCCTCTAATCCCAGCATTTTGAGAGGCCGAGGCAGGTGGATTGCCTGAGGTCAGGAGTTCAAGAGCAGCCTGACCAACATGGCGAAACCCTGTCTCTACTAAAAATACAAAAATTAACTGGGTGTGGTGGTGCATGCCTGTAATACCAGCTACTCAGGAGACTTTAGGCAGGAGAATCACTTGAACCCAGGAGGCAGAGGTTACAGTAAGCCAGGATCACGCCACTGCATTCCAGCCTGGGCAGCAGAGCAAGACTCCATCTCAAAAAAAAAAAAAAGAAAGAAAAAAGAAAGAGCCTGATGGAAGAGACGCACAGGGCAAAGTAGGAAGCGGGAGCATGCAACCCTCCCAGCACCTCAGTGTATTCACCACACACATGAATGTTCACCATTCAATGTGGAAGCCCTCCAAACCCTGTGGTTTCGTTTTTAGTGGATGTTTCAGCACACAGCCATGATTGATTCAGTCATTGGCTATTGGTGATTAGTTCAGTCTCCAGCCCCTCTTCCCTCAGGGATGAAGTTGAAAGTTCCAACCCTCTAATCATGCCTTAGATTTTCTGGTGACCAGCCCCCATCCTGAAGCTATCTAAGGACCCTCAGTAGCCAGTCATGTCATTAGCACACAAAAGACCTTTTTTTTAACTTTGAGACAGGGTCTTACTCCTTCGCCCAGGCTGGAATGCAGTGGTGCAGTCATGGCTAACCTTAGCCTCAACTTCCTGGGCTTAAGTAATCTTCCCACCTCAGCCACCCAAGTAGCTGGGACTATGGGCACCTGTCACCACGCCCTGCTAATATTTATTTTTATTTTTTGTGATGGAGTCTTGCTCTTGTCGCCTAGGCTAGAGTGCAATGGTGGATCTCGGCTCACTGCAACCTCCACCTCCTGGGTTTAAGCGATTCTCCTGCCTCAGCCTCCCGAGTAGCTCAGACTACAGGCGCCCACCACCACACCCAGCTAATTTTTGTATTTTTTAGTAGAGACAGGGTTTCACCATGTTAGCCAGCCTAGTTTCCAACTCCTGACCTCAGATGATCCACCTGCCCTGACCTCCCAAAGTTCTGGGATTACAAGTATGAGCTACTGCCCCCAGCCAATTTTTTGTAGAGACAGAGTCACACTATGTTGCCCAGGCTGGTGTTAAACTCCTGGACTCCAGTGATCCTCTTGCTGTGTCCCTGCAAAGTGCTGGGATTACGGGAGTGAACCACCACACCCAGAAACCAAATAATTTTTAATATATTGTGGCTGGGTGTGGTGGCTCATGCCTGTAATCCCAGCACTTTGGGAGGCTGAGGGGGGTGGATCACCTGAGGTCAGGAATTTGAGACCAACCTGACCCAACGTGGTAAAACCCCATCACTACTAAAAATACAAAAATTAGCTGGGTGTGGTTTTGAGCTCCTGTAATCCCAGCTACTCAGGTAGCTGAGGCAGGAGAATCACTTGAACCCAGGAGGCGGAGGTTGCATTGAGCTGAGATCAAGCTATTGCACTCCAGCCTGGGTGACAGGGTAAGACTCTGTCTCAAACAAACAAAAAAAAAAACATATCATGGTAAGTAAAAATCATTCCATGAGTATCCTTAGATCAAAGTACTTCTGTGCCCTGCTTGGGCAGATTTCCTGGATATGCTAGAGAAGGATGATTTGGTATCTGTCTTTCTTTTTTTTTTTTTTGAGGCAGAGTTTCACTCTTGTCGCCCAGGCTGGAGTGCAGTGGCACAATCTCAGCTCACTGCAACCTCTTCCTCCCAGGTTCAAGCGATTCTCCTGCCTCAGCCTCCCAAGTAGCTGTGATTACAAGTGCCTGCCATCACACTAGGCTAATTTTTGTATTATTTTTAGTAGAGACAGGGTTTCGCCATGCTGGCCAGGCTGGTCTTGAACTCCTGACCTCAGGTGATCCATCTGCCTTGACCTCCCAAAGTGCTGGGATTACAGATGTGAGCCATGGTGCCCAGCCTTCCTTTTCTTTTTTTTTTTTTTTTTTTTTTTTTAGAGATGGGCTCTTCCTATGTTCCCTAGCCTTTACTCAAACTCCTGGGCTCAAGCAATCTTCCTGCCTCGGCCTATCCAGTAGCTGGGACTACAGGCAAGTGCCACCACACCCAGCTGTTGTGCATAATTTGAACACCACCTCTTACAACCAACTAATCTAAATCCTCAAACGTATGTGTATTTTCTTTGAAATTCCATATTACATATTTGTGAAGGCAAGTTTCTTACTTTGTGTGTGTTTTTTGTTTTTTGTTTTTTTTTTTTTTTGAGACAGAGTCTTGCTCTATCCCCCAGGTTGGAGGGGCATGATCTTGCCTCACTGCAACCTCCGCCTCCTGGGTTCAAGCGATTCTCATGCCTCAGCCTCCTGAGTAGCTGGGATTACAGGCGCCTGCCACTGCCCAGCTAATTTTTGTATTTTTAGTAGAGACGGGGTTTCATCATGTTGGCCAGGCTGGTCTCGAACTCCTGATCTCAGGTGATCCGCCTGCCTCAGCCTCCCAGAGTGCTTTTTTATTGTCAGAAGAGTGTGAGATTTGTCCATCTAGAATCAAAATATCTTCAGAGCCTTTGTAATCAAAGACTACCCAGACCCAACTTTAAGGAAACTGCTCTAATTTTGTTTTCAAGGGTCTCACCTAGATTTCACACACACAGTGAAACAATAAAGCACGGAGCTGAGAGCACACATTCTTCTCCGACCTGTATTTGAATCTTCACTCTACAGTGTGAAAATACATAATTCACAATCAAAGCTGATGAAACTTTAAAAATTATTTTGAGTCTTAAAGGAATGTGATTACGGGACCTGAGTCATGTTTTTTTGTTTGTTTGTTTGTTTTGAGACTGAGTCTCGCTCTGTCGCCCAGGCTAGAGTGCAGTGGTGCGATCTCGGCTCACGGCAAGCTCAGCCTCCCAGTTTCACGCCATTCTCCTGCCTCAGCCTCTCGAGTAGCTGGGACTACAGGCGCCCGCCATTGCGCCTGGCTAATTTTTTGTAATTTTAGTAGAGACGGTGTTTCACCGTGGTCTCGATCGCCTGACCTCGTGATCTTCCTGCCTCAGCCTCCCAAAGTGCTGGGATTACAGGCGTGAGCCACCGCGCCCGGCCAGGACCTCAGTCATGTTAAAGGCAGCTGTAACCTAGACAGCTATAACCTTAACTTCTCTGGTTATGGATTAGCCTTTTTCTTTACCTACACTGTTTTATAAAAGACTAAACGGCACCAGAGAAGCCTTCCCTCTACTGTTGGTCTTAATTATAGACTCACTTCCCTGTTTCTTCTCTCTTTTTTTCCCCAAAGCAGGTGAACGCTTTCCTTCTCTTATACAAACACCTATGACTATCACATGGTCTAAGATGGAATGTTAAATATACTCTTTTTTTTTTTTTTTTTTTTTGAGAGGGAGTCTCGCTCTGTCGCCCAGGCTGGAGTGCAGTGGCCGGATCTCAGCTCACTGCAAGCTCCGCCTCCCGGCTTCACGCCATTCTCCTGCCTCAGCCTCCGGAGTAGCTGGGACTACAGGCGCCCGCCACCTCGCCCGGCTAGTTTTTTGTATTTTTTTAGTAGAGACAGGGTTTCACGGTGTTAGCCAGGATGGTCTCGATCTCCTGACCTCGTGATCCGCCCGTCTCGGCCTCCCAAAGTGCTGGGATTACAGGCTTGAGCCACCGCGCCCGGCCAATAAACATATTCTTTAAACTGGAAAGAAGAAGGAAAAAACGGAGTGGTAACTAATCAAATTCCTGTAACTCATAAAACAGCTTTGTATAGAAAATATAATCCTGCGAAATTTCTTTGTTTGCTGTCTGTATAAGTAAGACCTTTCTGGGCGGGGTGGCTCACGCCTGTAATCCCAGCACTTTGGGAGGTCGAGGCGGGCGGATCACCTGAGGTCAGGAATTTGAGACCAGCCTGTCCAACATGGCAAAACCCTGTCTCTACTAAAAATGCAAAAATTAGCTGGGCATGGCCGGGCCTGGTGGCTTACGCCTGTAATCCCAGCACTTTGGGAGGCCAAGGTGGGCGGATCACCTGAGGTCGGGAGTTCGAGACCAGCCTGACCAACATGGAGAAACCCCGTCTCTACTAAAAACACAAAATTAGCCCGGCATGGTGGTGCATGCCTGTAATTCCAGCTACTCGGGAAGGCTGAGGCAGGAGAATCATTGAACCCGGGAGGTGGAGGTTGCGGTGAGCCAAGATCGCGCCATTGTACTCTAGCCTAGGCAACAAGAACAAAACTCCGTCTCAAAAAAAAAAAAAACTTAGCTGGGCATGGTGGCAGGCGCTTGTAATCCCAGCTACTTGGGAGGCTGAGGAAGGAGAATCCCTTGAACCCAGGAGGTAGAGGTTGCAGAGGGCTGAGATCGCACCACTGCACTCAAGCCTAGGTGACAGAGAGAGACTCTGTCTCAAAAACACAAATTAAAATAGGCCAGGCGCGGTGGCTCACGCTTGTAATCCCAGAACTTTGGGAGGCAGAGGCGGGTGGATCACCTGAGGTCAGGAGTTGGAGACCAGCCCGACCAATATGGTAAAACCCTGTCTCTACTAAAAATACAGAAAAATTAGCTGGGTGTTGTGGCATGCGCCTGTAGTCTCAGCTACTTGGGAGGTGGAGACAGGAGAATTGCTTGAACCCAGGAGGCAGAGTTTGCAGTGAGCTGAGATCATGCCACTGCACTCCAGCCTGGGTGACAGAGCAAGACTCTGTCTCAAAAACAAAACAAAACCAAACAAAAAAGAAAAGGCTATACAACAATAGTTGTCAGCACATTGTCTCTAGGGAATGTTCTGGAGTGATTGACTTGTCTGAAACTGGATAATGGGAATGGTTGTACACCTGTATACGTTTACTAGAAATTATCAAACTGTACACTTAAAACAGGTACATTTTTTGGTACATAAAGTATACTTGATAAAGCCATTAAAGAAAAACACCTCAAGTCCAACAGCTTAAAAGTAAAAGAAGGCCGGGCGCGGTGGCTCACGCCTGTAATCCCAGCACTTTAGGAGGCCGAGGCGGGTGGATTACGAGGTCGGGAGATCGAGACCATCCTGGCTAACACAGTGAAACCCCGTCTCTACTAAAGAACATAAAAAATCGGCCGGGCGTGGTGGCTCACGCCTGTAATCCCAGCACTTTGGGAGGCCGAGGCGGGCGGATCACAAGGTCAGGAGATCGAGACCACGGTGAAACCCCGTCTCTACTAAAAATACAAAAAATTAGCCGGGCGCGGTTGTGGGCGCCTGTAGTCCCAGCTACTCGGGAGGCTGAGGCAGGAGAATGGCGTGAACCCGGGAGGCGGAGCTTGCAGTGAGCCGAGATCGCGCCACTGCACTCCAGCTTGGGCGACAGAGCGAGACTCCGTCTCAAAAAAAAAAAAAAAAAAAAAAAAAAAAAGAACATAAAAAATTAGCCAGGCATAGTGGCGAGCGCCTACAGTCCCAGCTACTCAGGAGGCTGAGGCAGGAGAATGGCGTGAACCCAGGAGGCGGAGGTTGCAGTGAGCTGAGATTGCGCCACTGCACTCCAGCCTGGGCGACAGAGCAAGATTCGGTCTCAAAAAAAAAAAAAAAAAAGTAAAAGAAGAAATATAAAAACTCCAAGAGTCATATTCCAAGAAATTAAATTTTTATTACAAGCGGCCACACCTGTAATCCCAACACTTTGGGAGGCCCAGGTGGGCTCATCACTTGAGGCCAGGAGTTCGAGACCAGCCTGGCCAATATGGTAAAACCCCATTTCTGCTAAAAATACAAAAATTAGCTGGGTGTGGTGGTGCATGCCTGTAATCCCAGCTACTCGGGAGGCTGAGGCAGGAGAATCGCTTGAACCCGGGAGGCAGAGGTTGCAGTGAGCTGAGATTGCACCACTGTGCTCCAGCCTGGGTGACACTGGGTGACAGAAGGAGAGATTTCATCTCAAAAAAAAAAAAAGTAAGATATTAACTTTTCAGCTTGGGTGTACTGACCACATTCCTTTGGAGTCTGTATTTCCTGGATGGCTGTCTTCAGCTTCATGCCTGAATAAACTGTTATTTTTTTTTTTTTTTTTTTTTTTTTTGAGACGGAGTCTTGCTCTGTAGCCCGGGCTGGAGTGCAGTGGCCGGATCTCAGCTCACTGCAAGCTCCGCCTCCCGGGTTTACGCCATTCTCCTGCCTCAGCCTCCGGAGTAGCTGGGACTACAGGCGCCCGCCACCTCGCCCGGCTAGTTTTTTGTATTTTTTTTAGTAGAGACAGGGTTTCACGGTGTTAGCCAGGATGGTCTCGATCTCCTGACCTCGTGATCCGCCCGTCTCGGCCTCCCAAAGTGCTGGGATTACAGGCTTGAGCCACCGCGCCTGGCCATAAACCGTTATTTATTCATTTTTTTTAAAACGGCCTCTGTTGCCAGGCTGTAGTGCAGTCGTGCGATCTCAGGTCACTGCAACCTCCGACTCACTGGTTCTAGCGATTCTCCTGCCTCAGCCTCCTGAGTAGCTGGGACTACAGACACGTGCCACCATGCCCAGCTAATTTTTGTATTTTTGGTAGAGATGGGGTTTCACCATGTTGGCCAGGATGATCTTGATCTCCTGACCTCGTGATCCGCCCACCTCGACCTCCCAAAGTGCTGGGATTACAGGTGTGAGCCACCGCGCCGGGTCTGAATAAACACTTTTAAACTGGATTCTGATGCTTTTGACAGTAGCCTTGGGGAATTTCAAAATTCCAATTTAATTGTGAATGGGAAGAATAGTGTCCTTTTCACAGGATTGTGATGAAGATTAAATGAGATAATACACTCAAAGGATTGAGCACAGTAATTGGGCCCCAAATCATCACTCCAAAGATTTGAGCTACTATGTTTATCTATGTATATATATGTATACATAAAGTAGCTATTACATATAATAGGTAAGAATTGTTCCATAAGTATTTGCATGTTATCTTTCTGCTTCTGTTGGAATATTTGGCTGTTTCATTTAATATAAGATGAGACTATAGGCATGCACCACTATGCCCAGCTAATTTTTGTATTTTCAGTAGAGATGGGACAGGTGTGGTGGTGGCTCATGCCTGTAATCCCAGCACTTTGGGAGGCCGAGGCAGGCGGATCATGAGGTCAAGAGATCGAGACCATCCTGGCTAACACGGTGAAACCCCGTCTCTACTAAAAATACAAAAATTAGCTGGGTGTGGTGGTACGTGCCCGTAGTCCCAGCTACTCGGGAGGCTGAGGCAGGAGAATCGCGTGGACCCAGGAAGCATAGGTTGCAGTGAGCCAAGATCGTGCCACTGCACGCCAGCCTGGCGACAGAGCGACACTCCATCTCGGAAAAAAACAAAAAAATAGTAGAGATGGGATTTCACCATGTAGGCCAGGCTGGTCTCCTGACCTCAAGTGATAGATCCACCTCAGCCTCCTAAAATGCTGGGATTACAGGCGTGAGCCACCGCGCTCGGCCTGATGTTTCCTTTAATACTGTATCATCTCACTGAGAACAAAATGTGGTGGATACCAGGTGGAGTTTGTCGCCTTCGATCCAATGGGTCCAGCCTCTGTTCTTCTTTTCTCCCTTCTGGACACAGGTGAGCCTGTCATTGTCCCAGGTAACCAAGCTCTGCATGAGGAGAGGAGAAAATGTTAGAGTGCCCTGGCAGGATCCTCAAGTGTTACCAAGTAGAATGCCAAGCTAGCCTTGCAAAATTAACAGCCTACTTATCGCTTTTTTTTTTTTTTTGAGACGGAGTCCCGCTCTGTCGGCCAGGCTGGAGTGCAGTGGCGCGATCTCGGCTCACTGCAACGAACCTTCACCTCCCCGGTTCAAGTGATTCTTCTGCCCCAGCCTCCCAAGTAGCTGGGTTTACAGGCTCCTGCCACCATGCCCACCTAATTTTTTCTTTTTTTTTTTTTTGAGATGGAGTCTCGCTGTGTAGCCCAGGCTGGAGTGTAGTGGCCGGATCTCGGCTCACTGCAAACTCCGCCTCCCGGGTTCACACCATTCTCCTGCCTCAGCCTCCCCAGTAGCTGGGACTACAGGCGCCCACCACCTCGCCCAGCTAGTTTTTTGTATTTTTAGTAGAGACGGGGTTTCACCGGGTTAGCCAGGATGGTCTCGATCTCCTGACCTCGTGATCCACCCGTCTTGGCCTCCCAAAGTGCTGGGATTACAGGCTTGAACCACCGCGCCTGGCCCCCACCTAATTTTTGAATTTTTTTTTTTTTTTTTTGAGACGGAGTCTCGTTCTGTCGCCCAGGCTGGAGTGCAGTGGATCTCGGCTCACTGCAAGCTCCGCCTCCCGGGTTCACACCATTCTCCTGCCTCAGCCTCCTGAGTAGGTGGGACTACAGGCGCCCCCCACCACGCCCGGCTTTTTTTTTTTTTTTTTTTGTATTTTTAGTAGAGATGGGGTTTCACCGTGTTAGCCAGGATGGTCTTGATCTCCTGACCTCGTGATCTGCCCGCCTTGACCTCCCAAAGTGCTGGGATTACAGGCATGAGCCACCGTGCCTACCCAATTTTTGAATTTTTTGTAGAGACAGGGTTTTGCCATGTTGCCCAGGCTGGTCTCGAATTCCTGACCTCAGGTGATCTGCCTGCCTTGACCTCCCAAAGTGTTGGGATTACAGGCGTAATCCACCACGCCTGACATTGCTTTAAATTTTACCTTGCATTTTCTGTTGTCCAGGCCTTTGTTATCTTCCTCAAATTCTTCTCCAATTTTAAATTTCACAAAGTAGTTCCTTAGGCTGCTGTTCGTGTGGATGGTAAAAGAATCCTCATTTTGCTCAATCACTTTCTGTGGCCTCAGCAACTTGGCTATTTTACGAGTGGCAAAGTCAATACCTTAAAAATAATTTTTGAAAAATATTTGAACATTCGCTTGAGATGCACAAGTGAAGAATTTGGCAGCTGTTCTCAAAATCACTGCATGTAATTGTCAGCATTTCCTGTACAACTTCAATGTTTTTTGCTGCTAAAATCAGATCTACAGGGAACCGTCTTGGCAAACTGCCAACCACAGCCTGACTAAAAAGTTTGCACATGCCAGGTGCAGTAATCCCAGCACTTTGGGACAGAGAGACAGGAGGATTGAGCTCAGGAGTTTGAGACCAGCCTGGGCAACATAGCAAGACCCTGTCTCTATAAAAAAAATAAACTGTCAGCCAGGCACGGTGGCTCACACCTGTAATCCCAGCACTTTGGGAGGCCAAGGAGGGCAGATCACCTGAGGTCAGGAGTTTGAGACCAGCCTGACCAACATGGAGAAACCCTATCTCTACTAAAAATTACAAAATTAGCCGGGCATGGTGGCACATGCCTGTAACCCCAGCTGCTCGGGAGGCTGAAGCAGGAGAATTGCTTGAACCCGGGAGGCGGAGGTTGCGGTGAACTGAGATCACACCACTGCACTCCAGCCTGAGCAACAGAGAGAGACTCCATCTCAAAAAAAAGAAAGAAAAAGAAAACCAAAGGGATAGGGTTTAGGCCCCCCAACCCAGCCTCGGTCACAACTCTGCCTTTTTCTGCCTTACGTATTTACACTTTGAATTAAGAGAACATTTGAACAGTTTCTCAACAACAATGAAGACAAAACTCAAAAACCACTGGATTCATGTATATACCTCTCTCTCTCTATATATATATATATATACACACACACACATACACACACACACTTTTTTTTTTTCTTTTTTTTCTGAGACACAGTCTCACTCTGTCGCCAAGGTTGGGGAAAACAGTGACACGATTTCAGCTCACTGCAACCTCCACTCCTGGGTTCAAGCAATTCTCTTGCCTTAGCCTCCTGAGTAACTGGAATTACAGGCTTGCATCACCACACCCAGCTACGTACTACAATGTATTTATAAATCTCTCTCTCTTTTTTTTTTTTTTTTTTTTGAGACAGGATCTCATTCTGTCACCCCGGCTGGAGTGCAGTGGTGCAATCATGGCTCACTGCAGCCTCGACCTTTCAGGCTCAAGTGATTCTTCTATCTCAGCCTCTCGAATATCTGGGACTACAGGCATATGCCACCATGCCTGGAAATGTTTTAAATATTTTTTTGTAGAGATCAGGCCTCACTATGTTGCCCAGGTTGGTCTCGAACTCTTGGGCTCAAGCAATCCTCCCACCTGAGCCTCCCATAGTGCTGGGATTACAGACATGAGCCACCCTGCTCAGCTAGAAATCTTGAATAAGCTTTAAAAAAGAGTTCCACAGGGAAACATGGAATGCTAAGAAGATGAAGATCAGGGTTTGGAATCCCAGTTCCACTTAGTGCCTTTGAGCATATTATGTAGCTAGAAATAAACACCACTATTTTAAATAATGGCCAGGTGACATCTCAGCAGGGACCTGAAAGAAGAATCAAGCCACGCAGATTTCTGGTAAATAGTTTAAGGCAGAAATCTAGGGAGCCCTGGGACTCTGAGGAAGGGTGTGTCAGTGTGTTTTGGGAACTCTGAGGAGCCTAGGGTAGCTGCAGCAGAATTAGGGAGAGGGAGGAGGAGGGAGAGGAGTTAAAGATGAGATGTGATTCTCCCGGCCAAGGTGGCTCATGCCTGTAATCCCAGCACTTTGGGAGGCAGAGGCAGGTGGACCACCTGAGGTCAGGTGTTCAAAACCAGCCTGGGCAACATAACAAAACCCCATCTCTAGAAAACAAAAATTAGCTGAGCATGGTAGTGTGCCCCTGTAATCCCAGCTACTCGGGAGGCTGAGGCAGGAGAATCACTTGAACCCAGGAGGTGGAGGCTGCAGTAAGCCGAGATAGTGCCACTGCACTCCAGCCTGGGTGACAGAGCAAGACTCCATTTCAAAAAAACCCCAAACAACAACAACCAAAAATAAAACAATAATATAAATGTCCTCATCGTAAGAAAAAATTTTTGTAGCCAGGGGCAGTGGCTCATATCTGTAATCCCAACACTTCTGGAGGCCAAGGTGGGAAGATCACTTGAGCCCAGGAGTTCAAGACCAGGCTGGACAACATAGCAAGACCCCATTTCTATTTAAAAACAAACAAACAAACAAACAGCTGAGGCTGGGCATGCTGGCTCACACTTGGGCTGAGCTGAGGCAGGAGAATCAGTTGAACTCAGGAGGCGGAGGTTGCCATGAACTGAGATCGAGCCACTGCACTCCAGCCTGGGCGACAGAGTGAAATTCCATCTCAAAAACAAACAAACAAACAAACCAACATCTCAAAAACCATCTGGGCATAGTGATGCATGCCTGTGGTCTCAGCTGCAAATAAAAAAGCCTGCGCGTATGTGTTTAAATCTAGAACTCCAGTTTTTAGTTTGAGATGCAATATGATCCAGGCTTTATTGGTTTTCAACAATATTTAAGTATTGACACCAAAACCTTAAAATCACTTCCTATTACTATTATTTTTTTGAGAGAGGGTCTCATTCTGTTGCCCAGGCTGGAGTGCAGTGGTGTGACCTTGGCTCACTGCAGCCTTTGCTTCCTAGGCTCAGGAGATCTTCCCAGCTCAGCTCCCAAGTAGCTGGGGCTACAGGCATGTGCCACCACACCCGGCTAATTTTTAAATTTTTCTTTCATAGAGATGAAGTTTCACCATGTTACCCAGGCTCATTTCCTATTATTAATATGACCAAGCCAAACTTACTGCTGACTTTCCTCAAACCCTATTATGTAAGCAAAACAAAACCCAATAACTTTAGACTAACAATGACTTTAGAGTTATGATTTTAAGCATTTATGCTTTCAATATCTGTGAGGCGCCGGGCACAGGGGCTCATGCCTGTAATCCGAGCACTTTGGGAGGCCGAGGCAGGTAGACCAACATGACCAGCCTGACCAACATGGAGAAACCCTGTCTCTACTAAAAATACAAAATTAGCTGGGTGTGGTGGTGCATGCCTGTGATCGCAGCTACTCCAGAGGCTGAGGCAGGAGAATCACTTGAACCTGGGAGGCAGAGGTTGAGGTGAGCTAAGATTGCACTATTGCACTCCAGGCTGGGCAACCAGAGCAAAACTCCATCTCAAATAAATAAATACATACATGCATACATACATACATAAATTTGGTTGGGCGTGGTGGTTTACGCTTGTAATCCCGGCACTTTGGGAGGCCGAGACAGGCAGATCACCTGAGGTCAGGAGTTCGAGACCAGCCTGACCAACATGGAGAAACCTCGTCTCTACTAAAAATACAAAAGTAGCCGGGCGTGGTGGCGCATACCTGTAATCCTAGCTACTCAGGAGGCTGAGGCAGGAGAATTGCTTGAACCCGGGAGATGGAGGTTGTGGTGAGCCGAGATTGCACCATTGCACTCCAGCCTGGGCAACAAGAGCAAAACTCCAAAGCTCCATCTAAAAAAACAAACAAACAGAAAATCTGTGAGGCAGGCTGGGCGTGGTAGTTCACGCCTGTAATTCTAACACTTTGGGAGGCTGAGGCGGGCAGATGATCTGAGGTCAGGAGTTCGAGACCAGCCTGGCCAACATGGCAAAACCCCATCTCTACTAAAAATATAAGAATTAGTAAGGCGTGGTGGGGGGATGCCTGTAATCCCAGCTACTCTGGAGGCTTAGGCAGAAGAATCTCTTGAACCCAGGAGGTGGAGGTTGCAGCGAGCTGAAGTCTCGCTACTGCACTCCAGCTTAGGCGACAGAGCAAGAATCCATCTCAAAAAATAAATAAATAAAATAAAATATGTGAGGCAATTTGTTATTAGTAAATTTACAATTTGCACTAGTCATGTGGGGCAGGTGAGTCCCAGAGTGGGGATTAGCCTGCGAAGGCTCTTGGCTTTGCCCAGGAAAGAATTCAAGGGCAAGCCAGAGGCAGAAGAAAATAGCTTTATCGAAGAAGCAGTGTCACAACCCTGTGACTGCTCCTGCAGAAAAGGGCTACCCCATAGGCAGAGAGTAGCAGCTCGGGGCAGTTTTGTAGTCATATTTATACCCACTTCTAGTTATATGCAGAGTAAGGGGTGGTTTTTTGTTTTTGTTTTGTTTTTTGAGATAAGAGTTTTGCTCTTGTCACCCAGGCTGGGGTGCAATGGCAGCATCATCTTGGCTCACTGATTGCCTCCCGGATTCAAGTGATTCTCCTGCTTCAGTCTCCTGAGTAGCTGAGACTAACTAAAGGTGCCCACTACCATGCCCGGCTAATTTTTGTATTTTTGGTAGAGATGGGTTTCACCATGTTGGCCAGGCTGGTCTCGAACTCCTGACCTCAGGCGATCCACCCACCTCAGCCTCCCAAAGTGCTGGGGTTACATGCCTGAGCCGCCGCGCCCGGCTAAGGAGTGGTTTATGCAGACATTTCTAGGAAAGGGGTAGTAACTTTTGGGTCCTCTGGTCATTGAAAGGGGTGCTAACTCCAGGTGTTGCCATGGCAACAGTAAACTGACATGGCACACTGTTGTATGTGTTTTATGGAAAACTGCTTCCATCCCATCCCTATTTTAGTTAGTCCTCAGTTTGGTCCGCTGTCCCAAGCCCGGCTTCTGGAGTTGAGCCCTGCTTCCTACTTCACTACCATGTTGCAACATTGTTACTTCACAGATTTGCAGCTCCAAGGCTGGCCCCTTTAAAGACCAAAATTTACTTTGAATTAGCATAAGTTCTGGGCCAGGTACAGTGGCTCAGGTCTGTAATTCCAGCAGTTTGGGATGCCAAGGCAGGCAGATCACTTGAGGCCAGGAGTTCAAGATCAGCCTGGCCAACATGGTGAAACCGCATCTCTATCAAAAAATAAAATAAAAATTAGCTGGGCTTGGTGGTCTGTACCTGTAGACCTGGCTGCTGGGGAGGCTGAGGTGGGAGAATTGCTTAAGCCTGGAAGGAGGAGGTTGCAGCGAACC